CCACACTGAGGCCTGGAGCAGGCATCCAGATCCCCGATGGGAGGAGGAGTCCTGGCCCTCCACCCCAAACTGCCGTGGTCAGGCACTCTGCCCCGAAGTCCTGAGCACTTCCCCCAGGCCCCCTCTCCCCCTGCTTGGGGCCCCAGGCCTTCTGGCCCAGCCGGGGACACAGTAAAACTTTGCTTTCTGATTTTTCTCTTATGCCCAGGCGACCACCTCCATCGGCTCCCGCCAGACCCTTCTTCTGAGCTTCGCGAGAGACCCCTCCCGCCTGCCTGGCTGCCCTCTGGGGGCAGGTCTGTCCTGGCTGGTGTCCCTGAGCCCCAATCACCAGGCTCTGTGATTTTCTGATCATAATTTATTGGCTCCAGTCCCCAGGCCAAACCACCCTTTGTTCTGTGAGGCTCCTGTATGGGCTTCGGTCAGGCTACCCCTCAGCCCTGTCTGGGGCCCCTGCAGGGAGAGCAGGAGGGGCAGAAGGACTTGCAAGCCCCACTCCTGGAATTCTGTTACCAGACCTCACACCTAGCCCCTGCTGGGCCAAGGGGCCGGCTCCTTCCTGTCAATAAAGCGACTGTCCTGGCAAGAACACTGCAAGCTGAGTCTCCTTCCCAGCTCCGGCATGAACAGTCCGTTCTCAGCAGCAGCAACAGGCCCCAGGTGGAGCGACAAGAAGGGGAAGGAAGGCATGGGGTTCCGTGAGCAGCAAGCTTCCTCCCTCCATGTCCTGGCTCATAGGGCCAGTGGGGGAGGGAAGAAAAAGTTTGCTTCCTGGATCCCATTCTGCACCAGGCAGTGGTGGTGCAACTGGAAGGCTCAGGCTAAGGCACATTCAGGGGACAGGTGGGGCCAGAAACTCCCAGGGTTGCATTCAAATGCTGCAGTGCCCCCCACGCACAATTTCCAGGAAAGCAGATGCAGTCACTGAGCTACCCCTTCTGGATGGCCCAGACCTGCAAGCCAGCCAGTATTCTGGCCTGGAAGGGAAGACACGGGCCACACCTCAGGCCCCGAATATACAGCCTCGCTTCTCATAGGAAACTACGTCACACACACATGCACCCTGCTGCCGTTGCTTTTCCCTGTTCTTCAGGGACGGGCTACGTAGGCACCGGGCGCTTATCCTGGAAGAAGCGCTTGAGTGTGCAGACCTGCAGCACAGCCACCAGCAGCAGCACGGCCACGTTCACAGCCGACCAGAAGGTGACGCGTTCCAGGTTGCCCTCCTGCAGGTTGCGGTCACGTGCTTCCAAGGCTCGCAGCAGGGTCAGCATCTGGATGCTGCGCTCCAGGCGTGTCCTCATGGTCTCGATAGACTCCTATGGGGCGAGGAAGGAGCAGAGACTGATAAAATGGGGAAATGGGGTGAGAGTCTGTTGGTGGAGGAGAGAGCTGAGAGCACAGACTGACCAGGCTGCCTGCTTCAATCTAAACCCTCATTCTGCCATTCACTGGCTGTAAAACTATGAGCAAGTTAATTAACTCCCTGGGCCTCAAGTGCCTCAGAATTGTGAGAACTGAATGCTTACATAAGTGTAAAGAATGTATTTTTTTTTAAATGAATGTATTTACTAGTGGATAACAGCACAGTTTGCTGAAGCCAGACTGCCTAGCTTCAAATATTGGCTCTGCCAGTTGCTAGCTGTGTGGCCTTAGAACAGTTACTTAGCCATCCTGTGCCTCAATAAAACTGGGGATGATTTGAACACACTGCCTAATTCATAGGGTGGTTATGGAGATTTAATGAGTTACTTAAGCCCTTAAAATCAGGATTTACACGTAGAAATGTGCTATGATTTTTAACTGTGAGCTGCTACTGTTAAGTTGGGGGCATCACTGGTAATTTACACGTAGAAATGTGCTATGATTTTTAACTGTGAGTTGCTACTGTTAATTAAGTTGGGGGCATCACTGGTAGGAAAGGCTGGGCCAGGCCAAGGAGGACCCCAGCCAAGGTTGGAGGGCAGGGGCACACAGCCCAATGCCAGAGATCTGGGAGGACTGGCCCCAGCTCAACCTGTGCACACCTTGATGTCCTCCATTTTGACATCCAGCATCTCCTCAGGCTCCACGACCTCTGCCCAGCCTTCGACCTCCTCATCATCCTGCAGGCTGTCAAAGATGAGTTCGAAGAACACCAGCTTCTCGGAGATTGTGCTGAAGGAGTTGTCGAAGCACAGCTTGTAGTCCCCAGCCTCCGTGGGTTCTACCCTGGGCAGATAGGCAGACACACAGACATGACCCTGAATGGCCGCCAGCCGGACTTTGAGAAACAGGCAGGGCGGTAACCGGAGGCCAACACCTTGATGTCCTCCATTTTGACATCCAGCATCTCCTCAGGCTCCACGACCTCTGCCCAGCCTTCGACCTCCTCATCATCCTGCAGGCTGTCAAAGATGAGTTCGAAGAACACCAGCTTCTCGGAGATTGTGCTGAAGGAGTTGTCGAAGCACAGCTTGTAGTCCCCAGCCTCCGTGGGTTCTACCCTGGGCAGAGAGGCAGACACACAGACATGACCCTGAATGGCCGCCAACCGGACTTTGAGAACAGGCAGGGCCGTAACCGGAGGCCAATGGGGAGGGGCAGGGCTGTAACCGAACCCCAGCAGGCAGCAGGACTTAACTCACGTGTGCACCCCATCTGCCTTGCGGGACTCACTGACCAGCAGCACACCCTGAGGGCTCTCCAGCGTGAAATCCACATCCAGCCCAGCACCTGCGATCACCTGGGGGGCAGGTAAGAGCAGGTGGAGGGCTAGGAGTAGGCCAAGAACACCTGCCAGAGAAGGCCGGGGCTGGACCACCGAGCAGACCCATACAGACCACTAAGAGCCTACCTGAGCGATGACACCCACACCTGCAACCAGGTCCTGCCCCACCAGTCCTTCAGGCCACGCCCATTGCCTTGGCTCTGCCCCCCTGGATATGACAGCTTTGGGATCAGCTCTTTCCTCTGGCAACGCCCCCGCCCCCGTGGGAAGTACTTCATCGGCCAAGTCTGGCCACGCGCCTGACTTGATCATGTCCCAAAGGAGACGACCCAGTTCAGCCTTTAGCCCAAGCCCCCCAAAATGTAGATCACGCCCTTTCTCATAACGCATCCTAGTCACGCCCACCAACCTCTTCAATCCGCCACATTTTGGTCACGCCCACGGGGGTCCGACCCTATGAAAGGCGCTATTCTTCCCGACTGCCCGCCTCCAGGCTGTCGTCCTCTAGCCCCGCCTTCGTCCTTTACTCCCACCCCTTCCGCTCCCACGCGCTGCGCCCGTCCCCTTCGTAAGATCCCGCCCCCACGCTCTTACGCACAGGCGCCCGCCCCTTTCCTCTTTAAGGCAAGCCTTGCTGTAGCTGCTTGGCCACGCCCTCTCCCCTTGGCTCCGCTCGCTCTCCGGCCCAGGTCCCTCTACCTGGTACTCGGTCTCGAGGCTTGCGTTGGCCGGCGCGGACTGGTAGAAACATTGCTTTCTCCCCGCAGGCAGCAGGAATGTGAACTCGCCGTCCTGTATCGGTGGCGGCCCGGCCCCTCTCACCCCCGCTGATGGCAGTAGGAGCCCCAGGGCCAAGGCTAGGGCCGCGCTGGCCGCCATCTGGATCATCCTATGGTCTCCTAATGGGTCGTGGCTCCTTTAAGGGCTAGCCCTGCCCCCTCTGCACTCAGCGAAGCTCATTGGCAGCTGCTTCTGCCCGTTATCCGAAACCAGCGGAGTTGGGAGTGTAGGACCCCCTGAGGGTGTAGCTGCCCAAATGAATGCCTGGTGTGCCCGAAAACATTCAACCTTCTAGACTTTTTTCTAAAAGGCCCCCATTTTTAGTTTCAATTGCTGGTGAAGGAAAATGACAAAAATAAGTAATATTGCGTTCTTCTCAGGCAAACATTAAGACAACTAAAGTGGAGGCGGTCGGGTCCTTCTCCAGCGGTTCTCAACCTGTGGGTTCCGACCCCTTTGGCGGTCGAAGGGCCCTTTCACAGGGGTCGCCTAAGGCCATCCTGCATATCAGATATTTACATTATGATTCATAATAGTAGCAATGGAAATAATTTTATGGTTGGGTCACAACATGAGGAACTGTATTTAAAGGGCCAGAAGGTTGAGACCCACTGAGCGGTTTCCCCAGAGTAGGCCACGCGTGAAGACCGTGGGACCATCTTGACAGGCTAGATCGGGGCCAAATAGAGGGCGGGCGTGGCCCTGCCAGGGACCCGTAGGGCTGGCCTATAAAAAGGCTCGGCTGGGGTGGGGGGCTGGAGGCGCAGAGAATCGTCCCTATTAACGGGGGTGTCATATTATCCCTGGTCTCTGAACAAAGCCTCAGCTTCGAAGCCCGACTCCTCATTCCTTTTGTGCCTTAGAACCGTCACTCTATCCGTTTCCTCACCTGTAAGTTGCGGGTAATGAGAACTGAGTGAGGTGCAGCCTGGTCCACACTGAGCGAGCGCTCGCTTTTCCTTGCAGAGTTCGTAGAGAGACTTGGCCCAGCGGGCACCCCGAGGGTCTCAGACTCGGGGGCCAGCGGGTCAGCGGAGCGGCTCAGGCGGCCCAGTTTAGAGTCCGCAGGGGAGAGGAGGTGAAGAGTGCGGGCCTGGGGCCCAGTTCAAACCACGCCCCACCTACGCTTGAGGCAGTCACCCTGCTG